CTGCTCACCTCTAAACTGATTGATTGGAATCAGTTTAGTAAAGTTTCGTAGCCAAGTCCAGCAGAGGTTTCGATTCCCTGACTGGTTCTGATCCGTAGGCTGGTTCTGGATTCTCTCTGCTGACGGCCTGTTTACTGCAGGTCGATGAGCCACAGCTGCTAACAGCCTCCTTTCTCTCCAGCTCCTCGAACATCAACAAGCACTGGGAGGCTGAGCTGGCGGCGCTGAAGGGGAACAACGCCAAGCTGACTGCGGCTCTGCTCGAGTCCACGGCTAACGTCAAGCAGTGGAAGCAGCAGCTGGCGGCCTATCAGGAGGAGGCAGAGCGGCTACACAAACGGGTACGGCTCTCGTTAGTTGCTACCACCGGCTGCGTTCTCCCGAGTTACTGGTCAGCCTTTAACTCACATGGCTGTTGCTCGTCTCACAGGTGACGGAGCTGGAGTGCGTGAGCGGCCAAACCACAGTGATCAAATCCCAGAAAACGGAGCTGAACAGAACAATAGAGGAGCTGGAGCTGGCTTTAAAGGCCAAAGAGGAGGTGAGGCGCGTCTGGAGGGGGACGCCGTCAGCGGGGATGACCTCACTAACTTCTGTCTCCATGTTTGGCTTTCAGGAGCTGGAGAGACTCAAAGCAGAGGTGGAGAGTGCTAATGAGTTCAAGTTTCAAAAAGACGCCCTAACGCAGAAACTAAAGGTTAGCAAACACCTGTGAGCACATTTTAGTCAGACGTTTGTAGCTTTAGCATAAAAAAAAAAAAATGGATTTAAGAGAAATTTTAAGTTAGAAGCAGAAAAAGGAAACGATCCCTGAAACTGATCGCCTTAAATGTAAAAGATTTCTGTATCCAAAGAGTCGTCCAATAAGCCATGTTTTCATTCCCTCCCCACATCATGATGCTGCCACCTTTGTACCTGAGTGTGTTCAGCTAGATTTATTCTCAGAGGGGGTCACTGTCTGCTACTGCTGTTTATTTATGGGTACCAGAGTTATGGGGCCGGAAAAAATGAAGCCATCCTTTTAGACTCATGTTTAATACATAGAAACGCCATATGAGTCAAAAATAATTGATTTGGAAGGAAATGATAGAATTAAATCTGAGGAAGGATTTATTTGAGACGTTACATTTATTTTGACGTCAAAGCCAAATGTGCTTTTCAGGAGTTTATGGATTTTTTGGATAAACAAAAATGATCTGTTACTAGATAAAACCACCAAAAATAGCATTACATTTCTTTATATATATGTACCGTAAATGAATTGATGTAAAAAAAAAAAAGAAAAAGAGAAGACGTCGTGAAGCTTAAAAAGTGCCAGCTGAACTGCAAAAAATATACATCTAAAAGGGTTATTTTCTTTAAATAAGCATTTTGTCTTGAATTGAATAGATAAGAAACTTTGCCAATGGAATAAAATTATTTACATTTAAAACAAAACAAAAAATTTGAAATCTTATTTTAAGTATATATTATGTAATTATCTTGTTTTAAGAGTGGGGAAAAAACCCATTCCATTGGCAAATCATCTTATTTACCTGCTCAAATGAGGGATACATGCATTTGATTAAGTTATTTATAGTTATATTGAAACAAATTGACATTTTTAGCATAGAAAACTACTATACCCCACATTGAATAACAGTTACCGGTAAACTGTGGTTAACCATTGTTTTAGGGTTCATTCTGGCAGCCAGGTTTCCTTGAATATTATCCGTATGACAACACGAAGCAGGCAAGAAAAAAATCAAAGAACAGCAGCGGAACAAAGTTATTTACATCCATTAGATTAGGAACGGCGGTCAAAGCTTTATAAGGATCCATATTAACCACAGAGGAAGAAACAAAGATGGCCTCCGTGTTAAAGGGAGGATTACCTCCTAGCGACAGGTTGTTTTGGCCTCGTTTGTCAAAAGCTTCTTCCACCTCCCTCTCTCTTTGTTCCAGGAGACGGAGTCGAGGAACCAGACGTTGGAGGCGCAGCTGAACGACCTGGAGCTGCGCCTGGAGAGCAGCCAGCTGGAGCGGGAAGCCTACAGGAAGAGCCTTCGCTCCCTGCTGGAGCTGCTGGACAGCAAGATCTTCGAGCTGACGGAGCTGCGCGACACGCTGGCCAAGCTGATGGAGGGCAGCTAGAGAGCCTTCAGCATCACCGACACCACTTGAATAATCTCTTTTCTTTTCTAAGAGTTTACATGACTCGATGCATCAAGGGTACACAGACATCGCCACCTCAGCGCACTCAGATGGTTTACAAAGAGCCAAGTGAAGCCTTTTCTTTGCTCCACTCTGGAAAACCTTGGATTTTACATTTCTGACCACCACGATATGCTAAACGTTCGAGCTTCGACGCCGCACCGGAGCCGCCTCGACTCCACGCTTCAATTTTTTCCTCACCGTTCACTGAAATCGGCCCAACGAGCTCCAAACGAGTCCGATTTCTTTCTTTCTTCGCTCGCGGGATTAAGAGATAATCCCAGAAACTGCCAGCAAAGGGTTTCAGTTCGTCTTCTTTTCCTCCACAACCTATGAGCAATACATTAGAGGAGGGTCTGTGAACTCTTTCCAATCTCACTTTCAGGTAATTTTCCTGCTCCTGGTTTGAAGCGATGCAGGATTTTATTCATTCTGTTCTTTGTCCTTTTTTTAATTTTTCGTGTGTTTATGGGTGAATCGGATTATTTCCTTTCTTTTCGACGCATTTGGAAGTGCAATGATTGAATCCTCTTTTTTTATTATTATTATTATTTATTACTGAAGTATTTAGATTAATTAACATTGTAAAAAATGCAAAAGGTCGTTTAATTTAATGTTATCGTTTGTTGTGTGGCTTTGAGGATCGTTTTGTTTGAAGGGGGGAAATTAATGAAACGGGGAAAAATAGGAAAGTTGTTTTTTCTTTTGCCAAATACTGTTCTCCTGTACAGATCTGAACTCTTGCTGATGTTGCCTTGGGCACTGAGATGCATCAACGGTAGCTAACTGACGGTACGGTTGTTGGGTTTTTTCTGTTTGTTTGTGTTTTTTTTTCTTGTGGGATTACCTGTTGCCAAAAACGAAACGCTGTTCCACGGTACGTACACCCGCAGACACTGTTTAAGGGCTTGTTCTTGGTTCGGGTTCAAACTTAGCGGCGACTTTAATTAAAAGCGTAGATGTACCACTGTTGCTGAAAAAAGGGATTTGAGTTGAGAAAATGTAACTGTGGAGGAGAAACACGCTGATACACACAAATTGTAATTTTGAGTTTATATTAAAAGAAAATCTGATGAAGATGCTGCTTTGGTCTCTTGTCTGTTTTAAAGGAATCGCACTTCCCTAAACTTTTAGGGACGTCCTGATCCGATCTCAGCGGTTTCTGACTCCTTTTAATCCAGAAAACTCATCTTATAGGTACAGGAAATTCAGCCAACTGAGATTTTCATTTGGTTTTTAAGTTTATAGCTAAAAGCCCAAAATTCAGTTTCTCCATTTTTTACAGGAAATCCAGTAATATTTGGTCAGAGCTCCTTTAGCAGCGGATGTTTCCAGGCTTCGGTTCTCCTGCTGATCGTCCTCATGACTCCTTTCCAGTGTCCTGGTGTCCAGATTCTGAGCAGTGAGGATAATTTTGGAGAATCAGCTGTATCAGAGGACCAACCATGATGGATACTATTATCTACAAAAGTTTTGCAATTTGAAATCTTTTAATCTCACATTATATGTTGAATGAACCGTGTTAGAAGATTCCCCAACATATTTCAG